CCTCATGGATTCTTGCAAGTTCCAGGAGCTAGTTGGGCTCCTGGTCCTGGTACTTTAACTGGGCCGTTCTAACACAGTCATTCTGACTCTCCAGGCTCTCCCTTATCAGCTCTCAGTCACTGCGTTTCTGTTACAAATGTGCAAAATGATGTCCATATTACGCAAATGTAGAAAAAAAGCTCTATGCGCAATCGTAGTCACATGTGAATAAGTCTGTTAAAAACATACTACATCCAATACTTCCTGTTGTCGTCTTCCTGGTTTGCGCCAGCATCCGCTTGCTTATCGTGTGACTCGTGTGATGGGGGAAAGGTGTTTGTTTCCATTGCAGTTTTGTGAAATAAGCCAATTTTGATATGGCCGAAAATCCACCTCATCCTGGCGCCACAACGTTTTATAGACAAATAAGAGAAGTTTGATGAATCGGTACAATATTCTGTGTCACAAGCACTAAAACTGTATTTAAATGTTGCAGGTGTGGATCTAGTTTTAGCTAAAGTCTGTGTATCAAAAGTCAGAACAAATGACAATGAATTCTAATGAAGTATTGAATAGGTAAAGATTTGAGGTAGAGTTTCCAGGCTACTGAAACGTATCCCGTCAGTGCATCCTTCCACTCAACTTTCCACTTATTTACAAGGACCTAAACAACTTTCTGTTCTTCTAGAGTGCGATCTAGGTCTTAATAGTTTTATTTTTTGATCTGGGTTTGTAAAATCACTTTAAAATAACATTCTGAATTTATTAAGATGCAACTGTTGATCGGTTGCATTGCAGCCATGTTAATTGGTTTGCTACTCTGCTCATATTTGTTTCAGCATCTTAGCAGCAAACTGTTGCCATTATGTTCTACATTTCAGAACTTATGTTACGTTTTGTTGGAATTAAAAAATGAAAAAATGCCGCCTGCAGCCGGATTGTAGGGAACGAGACTCTCGGCCTCTTCCTGCGTGACTCTCACACAGACGGAAACGCGGTGAACCAGTAAGCGGCGCGGTTCTGATTGACCCCAACTGTGGTTAAAAAAATAAATAAATAAAAAAATCAACACATTCAAACGGAGGCCAGAGCGCGAGGGGCGAGTAAACACAGAAAAGCTCACGCTGTGATGCTAAATGAGGCAGGTGCAGAGAGAGATGTTTGCCGTTTTGCAACCTGTTTATTCTGCTTTCAGGCTCTTCGTCGGCTAGTTAAACGCTCACAGCTTGCCCCGGCTGGAAAAAGAGCAAGCCACACCGCGTGTTCAAACGCTCCACTGCTTATCAAATCCCCCTCTATGCAAATTCAAACGGGAGGTGGTTAAAATGCTGAAAACCGTTTCTGGATGCAGGTTTCTGGTGCTTGTGAAGCCGAGTTATTTTTTCTCTTTTTTTCATGTCAGGCAGCCTTGTGTTCCTCTGTAATAACAGAGGCCTGGAAGGTTCCCTCGAAGAGCTGCAAGCATCAGTCAGGGTGCTGCCTGCTGCCCTCCAATTCACACTTGAGTCTGTGTGGAAAGGATTAGGCCATAATTGAGTTGGTAAACAGTACTTTAAGGTTAATGGGATTCATTTGCATGAGAATCTGCTTAAAGGTGGAGCCGGCCAGTCTGCAGAAGGACCGATCATATTTGAACTCGGGAGACGAATAAATACAGACCTCTTTTCTGTGCTTCGAAAAATCTGACTCGCAAGGACATGCGGCGTTGGGTCAATGCCTCCCACTGAAGGACAGTCTGGCTGAATGGGAAAGTTTTCTCTCATATGTCTCCAGATGTTTGTGCACCATTTGGAGAAAAAGAAACCCAGAAAAAATGAGGCATCAATCTTAACAGGTCACCATGGCAGTTTCCTAGCAGAGATGCACCGATCCAATCGTAATATCTGTATCGGTCCCGAAATTGAAATGAAGACCAGAGACAATGTGCATAATTTGAAAGAGCGGAGCAGATCAACGTTGACGCAACGCATGGCTGTGGTAAACAGGAATTGGGTTGCAAACTAGTGTCCCTGAAACTAGAGTCTCTGTTTCAGAGAATAAAAACAGAGAATTTTTAGGAATGTTTCTCTGTTTGGCAAGTTGTTCAATTATGTCAACTTGCATTAATGCTACATGCTGTCTGGAGACATGGCAAAAAAAAATACTATTCTAATGCTACAACAGCGCAAACAGCCGAACGGTGAGGTAAACGTTTTTTATGTCAAAACTTATGTTCCTGTCTCACCCTTAGCACGTTAACTCTTTTTTTAAAAAAATAAAAACTTTTTTGTAAAACTGAGGAAACTATTTTGAATTCTGCCATTTCTATAAACGTTTCCTAATGCGATGCAGCTTCAGATTTGGACTTTAACTGGGCCGTTCTAACACATAGCCAGTCCGTGCCGTATGTCTGCATGTTCCGGGTTGTTGGAAGGTGAACCTCCGTCATCTTGGTCGTTGTCATGCTCTGTGCTACACTTTCCATCTTCAGATGGTGGATTGAACATTTCTGTGTGAGATGTTCAAAGTTTGGGATAAAAAAAAAAACAGTTGTAAGAGGTGTCATCAAAGGTTCTGGACGGCTGAAGCTGATCTTCAGGCCTTCCCGGTTGGTTATTTAAAATAACAAAAGCTGTTTTTAAAGGAGGGGTTGAATCAGCATCCAGCCTCCAATAGGAAACCTGACGGTTCTGTTTGGGTCTTCTATTGTTGTGTTGACTTGCAAACCCATCTGGAGCCAACTCGTTTTATTTATGCCTAAAGCAGTTGGACAAAAGCCGTACAAATTAGTGAGGATACGCTAACGAGAAGGGGTTCACTTCATGGACTAAATGAGCGTGATTGCATTGAAAAAGTAATCGCTATTGGCTCTAATACATCCATGTTCGATATATTCGGCCTCAGCCACCCCGGGTAGTGAAGAGTGAAAATAACAGGAAGGCAAATTTTGAAGCACCTGCCAAAAGTTTGGAACCAGTTTGTAATTTGAAGATGTGAGAGAGTGTTGCCTTTCCTCTCTAGTATCTGGTCTAAGTGGTGAGTTTAATGACGTCTTGGTGCCAGAAAGCCTCCAAATCTGAACAAGCAAAACTAAATTCAGACTCCCCACATCGCGTTTCAGATCAGTGATTTTAACAACAGCCCGCTGTTTCAAAAAGCTGGACTGCCTGTTGTTGCTGTTGTTGACAGAAAGACGTTTTTGGCTGTAACGCGCCAAATTGAAGCTTTTGTTTTCAGAGTGGAAGTGGGCGTTTCCACAGCGCCGACACCGGTTGGCTAAATCCAGCAGCAGAAATCTGAAGCGGATAGAAGTCACTCATCTGCAGCGACTGTTTCAAAACATCCAGCGAGAAAATCGGAAGTTATGGGTTCGTGTTTGTTTTTTTAATGATAATTTCATTTTTGTTTCCAACAGACTACAACTATTTCCCATTATTTAGCCCTCCACACTTTATAAACATCTCTTAAACATCTAATCTAACTAGTATCGGTTATTAAAACAGTTTTATTTATGCCGATGCTCTTATTCTGAAATGTAACGGAACATCCTGGGTTAAGAGGAGTTCATGTCGGATCGGCCAAAACAATCTGCCTGATACAACTTTCAGTTTGTCTATTAAACTAAATTAACAAGTTAAAAGTAAGCTTGCAATAATAGAAAAAAAAAGTCAAATGACAGTCATTAATTTCGTCCAATCAGGTGTGGGTTTGTCTCCAGACATACAGATGTTACAAAGATCTTAAAGAGGCAGTGGCTCAGGGCTGCAGTTTTGGGGGGCGGTTTCTACTTTTCATTCATGCATGTTTTTGCATTGTGCCTAATCTAAAACTCATAAGCCCACATCGTGTGAATTGTTTTATTGGGATTTTTATGAATGTCAACGTCATTCAAGTACTTGAAAGTTGAATGTTTTTTAGGGGGGGACTCTGCAAAGGACGACCTCTTGGTGTCATTTTTTATTAGTGGAAGAACTCCTCTGTTGCAGGTAGGGCACCAAACCGGTTCCAGTCCCGGGGCCAAACCAGAACAGACGAGCTTACTCCCTTCACTTTGGGTTTTTTGTTTTGTTTTTGCTTTTGTTTAATGTACTAAAGCTCCTTTATTTCCTGTGTGGGTGTAAAACAACCCCCGTTTTCACACTCGTTAAGAGGGGTGGAGGGAAAATGCTTCTTGGTTTTTAAAGCGCAGGATTTGTACTCGGACCCCTTTACTTTGATACCCCTAAATAACCAGTAAACAGCATCTGTTCAGTCTGTCGTCTGGAAAGTGGAAACGTATGGAGCTAAATACGAGACGCAATAAACATTTGAGGCTAAAATCTGTCAAGGTTTTTGTTTGTAACAGGCTGCATGCTGTCGTTGCATCAGCCCGTCCTGACTCGGTGGAGGGCAGCGAAGGCCTGGCCCAGACACTGCTGACTGGTGCAAAACGAACACACACACACGCACACACACACACACACACACACACACACACAAACACTCGGGGGGGCAGGAAGCCGTCAGAGAGCAAGGGAGTGACTGAAAGCCGAAACGAGACTGATGGGAACGGGAAGGGATGCTGCGCAGGAGGATGATGGGAGGAGGAAGGAGAGGAAGACATTATCGAGCCGCTGTGAGTCAGCAGGTTGACGAAGCTTTGGGGTGCGGCTGCGGCGCGTCACTCCCTCCTCCCCACCCCCCCGACCCACTCACCATCCCTCTGCCCGTCGTCTTCTTTCGGTCAAACCAGCCGGAGCCTGTTTGATCCGCTCAGAATCAGGCGGAGCGGGTCACGGGCTCCGGTGGATTGAATTTATCACGTTCGGTTTGACGGCGCCTGGAGTGTGAAATCGATCGGCACGCCCGCGCTCCACGGAGAGGCAGACGCCGAGATTTAAAAGCAGCGCTGGCGCTAACCCGACGAGGGAGAGCTAATTGTTTCACATGATCAGCTTAAAGTGATGTTGAAAAGTTCAGTGATGGTGTGTGTGTGTGTGTGTGTGTGTGTGTGTGTGTGTGTGTGTGTGTGTGTGTGTGTGTGTGTGTGTGTGTGTGTGTAGGACCAGGCGACAGCGTCCCATCTGTGTACAGCCTGGATGTGACTGACGTGTCCAGGTGGGAGGAGTCGGTGCTGAAGCCTGCACTGCAGATCCTGGACGGCCTCATGAAGGTGGGGCCGGCTGCCGAGGGGTCGGCCGGGGTCAACAGTCCTCCTGACTCCATAGTTACTCCTCACTTTGTTCTCTTTTTTTTGCTTTTCTTTACTTCTACTCCTTCATTTTTACCACATTTTGCAACTTTTCTGCGTTCCAGTTTTGTTCGTCTCTTTGGAATTTTGTCCCCTCGTTCTGCTTTCTTTTCCAGATTCTGTTTTCCATTTATTTCAGGAATTTTATCCAGTAAAACACGTGAAATAGATTAAATCCACACAGATTTATTTCTGGTAACTGTTACGTTTGAACACATACATTAGATGGAAATACAACATTTGAAGTTGAAATGTTACACCAGATAAATAAAAACTAAAACTATTTTTGCAAACAGAAATGCGGTTTTGAATGAAAAGTGTGTTTAACACCTGCTTAAAGGTTGATATCTTTCTCATTTATTGAATGTGACTGTAGATGTGTGAAAAAGCAAAGCGGCTCAGATTTTCAGATGAGATCAAACAATTCCCATCTTTTCTATGAAATTTACTTGTAACTTAACAGAGAATTGCAAATGATGAGGATTTAATTTCACGCCGCAACAAACAAATTTTATGCTTTTTTTTTACACGTTGGTATAAAAAATATATATAGAATTAATTTTGTTATCAAAACAGTAAAGGTAAAACTTTGGGATACCGAGAGAGACACAGCAACCAATTGGAATATTTACTTAGATTTTTTTTTGTGCTTTGACAAAATAGGTCGTTTCCGATGCATGTCGTTTAATTTCCTACAAAAATAAATGAAAATATGCATCTTTAAAATTTTGTGACTGTTGAATCGAAACGTTTTTAAAGCCTTTGTTTATATCTAATAGATTAACTGAGTCTAAAACATTGTCAGTACACAAGTGTCTCAAATCAGTGTGCAGAATTAGCATGCAAATGTTAGCTTGCTTCTTCTGTGTTTTTATATGACTTGTTGATAATTTATCTCAGGGTTTTTTTCTTCTTGAGGTTCTGGTCTATAAAGGAAGGGCTTCAACTCTCCCTGTTTCCTGTTCGAACATTGATTAGCACAATTTGGCTCTCTGTTGTCCTGGCGACAGGGTGAGGAGCCGGCTTTTCCCCCTATCAGCCTGCAGGGGCAGCAGAGAAACAAACGCAGCCGCCACACCTGTGACGCCTGCGACAAAATCATAATCGGAGACGTGGAGTGGACAGGTGAGGATGCGTCTAATTCGTCCATCTTTGTAATTGTGAAGGGTAACAAAATTAACAAAGAAACAAATCTCTGAGTATGTTTTTTTTTTCTTTGTGTCTGCAGCTCACCTGAAATCCAAAAAGCATCACTATCATGTCAGGAAGAAGAGGAAGTCCGATCCAGGAAGTGACCCACCCCAGAGCACCACTGCACCAGCTGCTCGTGGAGAACTGGACGGCGCTGAAACCCCTCCGGCTTCTTCCAGAGAATCGAGGACAGAGCACACAGAAGTTCCTGGGATACAATGAAAGCTCTGCGATCGACGTCTGTCTCAACTCGGGCTTCCAGATCCTCTGACTCGCATATTTTGCATCATGTGGCCGTTTTTCAGAACTCTACACGATCTTGTTTGTGCGCACAAAGCAAATCTTTAAAGAAATTTGGTTTTGTTCCACATTTAATTCATTTTTACGTTTTGAATAAGAACTGTTTAGTTCTATATTTTTTTAAGAAAAGGCCTCATATGAAGTGCTATCATTTTTTATTCATTGTCCTATTGCTGCACTCGGTTTACAGATAAACTACATTTCAGGCCTTAATTTCAGTAAACTAAAGTTGTATCATTGTGAAAGCTGTAGAGAAGTTAAAATGTTCTGCCAACAGGACTGAGCTAATTTCTTCTAATGTGCTAATAGCTTATCTAACTTTTTGTTTAGCGCTTTCACCTTTTTGCTAGCTTTGAAAACGCTTAGCGCTCTTAGCTTCTGAAATACTTTTGCCAGATAAATTCTAAATCGCTAATATTTTGGCTTTGGTTTCTTTATATATAAAATTCAACTTCTGTTGAAAATTTTGGTTTACGACTGTAAAGAATTCTGTTTATGCGAATCCGCTCCAGTGGTTTAGCGTTCTCTTCCGCTAAACATTGCGTCGGTGCAGCACTTTAGCCGCAGCGGAGATAATACTTAAGATTTGTGCCTTAGAGCAGCTAACTTTTTAGCCAGCATTGCTAATCACTTCCTACCGTTGAGAGGTTCTTGATAACTCTAGGAGTTGTTAGATAAATAAATATGTTGGCAGGAATCATGTCAGTTGTACATGGCGAATAATATCTGTCTTGATGTAAAAGTGGGAATAACGGTGCTATTGTTGGAGGACAGGAACCAGACAGGACACAAGAAGAAGGTGTAGGGCAAGATCAGAATTGACCTTTTTGACCTGCGTGTGACGGAAAACGAACACCGCACATCACCCTGATGAAAACACCACACCCTCTGTCAAATTCAGTGGTGGCAGCATCATGCTGTGGGCATCATTGTTTTATTTTTGACGTGAAAAGCCGCCTTTCTTCCGCTTCACAGTTTTGCACTCCTTTGTGTTGCTCTGTCAAATTCAGCCAGAATCAGAATAAAATGGTGTGGCTTAAAATTTGTTATGAATATTTTCTAAGGCTCTGAGAATTTCCAAGTTTTCCACTTGACTCCACCAGTGGTGTTTCCTTTCCATCATTTGATCTCCCAGTGATGAGCCCAAACACTGAAAGGTATTGTTCTTTGTCTGCCTGTTGTCGGCTCTTTCTTTTGGACCTTTTTTCTTCGTTTTTCGTGTGCGTTTTAATCGCTGGCTGGCTTCAGGCTTTATTTCTTTTTCCTGCCTGTTCATCCAGCAGCAACTTTTCAAACCGAGGTGCCTGCCTGTCGGCGAGGCGCTAACACGACGTCCTGGCGTCGCTCCAAATCGGCTTTTTTGGTCGTTCCCTCTCCGTCTGCCGCTCTGCCACTTTTTCAAACCGTCAACATTAAAACACTTGTTTTGTTTTCTTTTGTTTGGTTCGGTTTGGTTCACATGCTCCTGCAGTTTGACCTCATCTCCACGGCTAAAAATACGGTTCAGCCACATAATAGGTGGAAGTGTGTCCCACATTCTCTCCTTCCAAACTGGGTCGAGCTTACTGGGAGCTCGCTATACAGTATAGGAGCAGAGGTCAGAATGTCTGGTTTTCATAACCCGCTCAGTTTGGATCATCTGTTTTTCCTCCCCTTGCGTTTTGCCAGTTAAAACTCCTTCCTTCTTTAGTTTCTCGTGTTTTAACGGAGAAACAATAAAATATTTCAGTTTGAACGAAGAGAGCAGTTCATGTTCTTTTTTTACTTTGTGCTCTTATCTGGAGTTGCTGATGGAGGTGCTCCACCGATTCAGAGACGCGAGGAGCCGTTGAACTTTGCACCCCAGTTCACAGAAGTGCAGATGTACCACGACCTCTGCGGTCTCGAGGCTAATTAGTGGCTGAGCTCGCTGTGACACAGTGGATCATCTACACACACACACACACACACTCACTCAGAGGGGGTTCAAATCCTAAGACATTCTATGCAGACTTCTTCAGTGTTTCCACGCAGGTCTCACCTGGGTGTGTATGTTCGTGTGTGTATTTACCTGCACTCACCGCACAACCGCTCGTCCTGTTTTTCCATCCTCGGCTCGCGGCCCCGTCTTTCCCAGCCGAGGCTGTAAATGTAAATGTTGTGGAGCCGTTCCTGCTCCTGAGGCCATGCGCAGGGCAGCCGCGGCCCGGCCTGTGTAACGTGTTCTCTGACCTCTGTGCTGTCAAAACCAAATATTCACATACAGAGCTTTTAACCCTGCGACTAGACCTGTCAAGAAGACAAATTGCGTTGGACGATAAACCGTCCCAAGAAGTTATCGCAATAAACGATATCGTTGTTTTGAGACCATTTTCAAGTAACGTAATGGTAATGGAAAAACATTACTTTAACCAAAGCACCAGACTGAAGATTTTTATCTTCCAGAGAGAACAGAGAAAAAACAAATTAAGCAAACAAAAGTTATCGAGTTTGTTTTAATGTATCATGGTATTAACTGATTTATTGCCTTCTGTGATAGGTCTATTAGTAAGCTGATGTGTTGGGCCCCTTTTTGCTTTTTGTTATCAATGAACAACTAAATAAAACAAAAGTTTGTGGTAAAACTGAGGCGTTTGTTCTGTTGATAGCAGTTCCACATCTTTGATGCAATAATCGCTCAATATTCAGAACCAGTTCTATCAAAACCACCAAACATTTTTTTTAAAGAATCGACCGGACCTTAGATTTTCTTTCATTTCCTCTGGGTTATACTGATGTATCACACATCTTTCAATGTACTAGCTTTCACTGAAAGATGAGAAACTGTGTGTCAACCGCTTGGGTGTGGTTGGAATAGGCCACAAGGACAGATAATCATGTGGAGAACACAATAACTCAACAGCACTGCACCAATTGGCATGTAGGGTGCAGGGACACTCCGATCCAGCCTTTTCACTTTCAATACCGATACCGATATCTGAGGATTAGCACCGACCGATGCCGAGCCAATACAGAAAAACAATGCTGGATGATTTAAAATGTTTTGTTTTTTTTTGTTTTTTTTTTTTAAACACAGACATAAATGTACTGAATTATAAATTTATTTAACTCCAGAACACCACACCTAGATACACCAACAACATCTCAAGCAACATGTCCAATTTGTGAAAACAAGAATAGCAGCCATTGTAAAATAAATAAAGGGACTGAAAAGGACAAAAGCAACAGGTCGACCACCGTGGTCAAACATAAACTGCAACAAACCTTTCAAATGGTTTCGAAAGTGCAACTAGGAACTCTAAACATAATGGAAAGTGAATAAATCGTTCAAAACCGATGACTTTGTTTTCCAAACTGAGAATTCAAACGTCTGACTGGGTCGACGACAAACTGGTCTGTTTAAAAGAAATCCATCTTCATCTCTTCAAATCCAAGTTACCTTATTTTTGTGCCTGAAAGGTGAAAATAAAAAAAAGCTTTTTTGCAACTTTTATTTCCTGAGGTGTGAATGGGAAACAGCCACTTGTGACCTTATTTAACCCTTTAACCCAGTGACTGTTTTTCCCCGAGGTGATTGGTCCTCGTTTCTCATTTTGTGTCGACTAATAGGATTTCTGTTTCATCCTTGTTCGACGTAAAGAAGTGAATAGTGAGGATTCTGATGGTTAAAGTATCTGTACAGTCTTTAACTTTTTCTCCTTGAATATAAATCCTTTTTCTTTTTGCCCCCCATGCAACGTGTGGCTGTGTATTTTTGCAACGTTGCATTTTGTGGAACATTATATTTTTTTTGTCCTGCTAAGTTTTCACCACTTTTCCACCAAAGAACTTTTTCAAAAAGTTGACGTGTTGTTTTCCTCTTCAACTCGCAGCTCTGGCGTAGTAGTAGTGTGTCATCCAGTGACTGTGCGTCTGAGTAATTTAAAGTCCACTTAATCCTAATCTCTAATCCCATTTGACTAAACATTCCCTGCCATCTGGTCCTGGCTAGACAGAAAAAAAGAAGAACGAAACACCTCCTCAGGCACCAAACGCAGGCAGCTGATCAGACTGAGGCGCAGCTGTAGCCCGAGTCTCTGTGGAAAAGTCGGACGGCGCTCGGCGTGTTTACAGATGAAGGCTGAAATGTCTGGATGGCAAAACACTAGACACCACAAGGTCTTGTAATCTGTTTGTGGAGCATGATGGACCTGGCTGAGAATGCTTTGGGAGCTGCAAAATATTTCAGACTCTAAAGGTCGGGTGTCACCCTGACAACAGAGCTCATGTCGATCTTTGACCTAATTTTTTTTTTAAGTTTACTTTATTATTCCCTCTCTCCCAACTTTTATTGTTAAAGTTCCTCAAATGTTTATGCGCCGACTTCCTGCCGGTCAGGGTCGCTGTTTTGCCATCTGTAGACGAAGATGGCTCAGAAGTTGCGTAACCCAAGTGAGAAACATAACACTGCCAGGTGTGACTCTGACTCTTAAATGGCTTTGTTCCTGCAGTATTATTGTGCAGTGTGTGTGTGTGTGTGTCCGTGCATGTGCATGCGTGTGTGTGTGCGTGAGCTGTGGTATCTTACCTGGTTTTACCAATTCAATTCGAAACACTCATTGGTGCAGTTCCTTGAAGCTGTGACGTATCTTTTGATTACGTTGCAATCAAAAGTTTTATGTATTTGGTTCTTTTTTCTTTCAAATAAACTTAAAGTTTTCCATTTAAAGAAACCCAGTCCTGTTTGTCCAAAACTTCCCTCCAACAGGAAGATATCTCCAGCTCAACGCGACGCGACTCGGTTTCAGCGGCCATCTTCCTTGACCGACTGGAACACGAGGGATGTAAAAAAGTCACAGAGTACCAGGAGTACTTTCTATGTGAAAGAAAAATATGTTTTTGCTTGGACAGAAACGCAGATGAGCTCTGAGTCAGTTCTCAAGTCTTTACGACGACAGAAAGTGCATGTTGGAGTAAAATCTCAACCAAAGAGAGAGACGGGATTAAAGTCCATTCATTTTTGTCTTTGTGCTCCACCAGATCCGTTAGCCAGTTTCAGGGCCAGACTAGAACCCCTCAGTGGAAATTACCTTGAAAAATAATGAGATTTGATTATATATAAAAGCAGGATTTAATGCTGAAAAATGATCAAATGTTACATGCCCCACATGTCATAGAAGTGGAACAGATTCAGAGTTACATTCACCGTCCAGCGCTGGTTCACACTGAGCTCACCTTATGGATGGAACCAGGTGAGGTCAAGACTGCAGCCATGTTTAGCTTTTTTATTCTTTTCTGCGATCTGTACCCTCTCTAAAGGGTTTCTGATCAGTTTCAGTCTGAACATAGTAACGCAAAACCAATGTGTCCATTTTTTTTCCTAAATAAAATGCAAAAGTATGCAAATAAAAGCAAAATCTTTTAGAAGCAGTTCATCTATACAATACAAAAAAGAATCAAAATGTCATTGGATCCGATGCTACTGACGATTCTCCATATTTTTGACAGACCCCGTCCACCTCTAATGAGCGCGCCCGATTGAGACGGTGTTCTGTAACAATCGGTGTGATATATGTGTCGGAACCGAGCGCACAGCATCATTTATTCATGACTGTCTATAGGGATGGAGGTTCAGTGAGTTCATGCAGCTCTCTCTCTCTCTGTCTCTCTCTCTCTTTCTCTCTCTCTTTCTGTGTCTCGGTTATGCTGTCTGGCTCCTGCAGCCTCTTTCTGTACATGAAGGTGCAGCAGATGGAAGGGCCGCGATGTGAAAGGCCGTCTAAGGTGCAGAGTGTGGGAGCGCCGGCTTCCTGCAGTCACTCTGCCTCTTTTCCCAGCCCGTTATGTAACGCGGGGGCTGCCCTCTCTCTCTCTCCTCTCTCTCTCTCTCTCTCTCTCTCTCTCTCTCTCTCTCTCTCTCTCTCTCTCTCTCTCTCTCTCTCTCTCTCTCTCTCTCTCTCTCTCTCTCTCTCTCTCTCTCTCTCTCTTCTTGTACTCGCTACTTTCCAAACCCTCCCAAATTCAGAGCCAGTGATATGCGTCCTTGTGTTTTCCAGCAACCCGCTGAACTCTTTCCCAGGGCGGCAGTTTGGTGGAGTTTGCGCTCAGCCGCGCATTTAATTGTCACGTACTGGAGGCGGGGAGCTTATTTTAGGAAAGAAAAGGGGGAAAAAAAGAAAAAGAAAAACGAGCTGTTAACCCTTTTTGCATCGTTGGCTGCAGGGGAGAAATAAATCCTGTAGGTTTTACACACTCCCTGCCTTTTTCCAGCTGCTAAACCGAACGAACCTAAACGCCTGGTGTGTGTTGGCATGCGGATGTGTTTGACCGCGTGCGCTCTGCAGTGCATACTCACTGCAGTGAACGTGTGTGTGTGTGTGTGTGTGTGTGTGTGTGTGTGTGTGTGTGTGTGTGTGTGTGTGTGTGTGTGTGTGTGTGTGTGTCTCCATTGTCAGGGAGTTGAGCCGGCTCTTTTCCCGCCAGTGCGGCGTTTTGTGGGTGGGGTTTTGGACGCCGCCGCTTCCCGCCCGGTATGCGAACGAGTTCGGTGTGGGCGGGGACTGGAGCCGCCCTGTTATGCGGCACTTAACGCTGTCGGTGCCGGGCTGCGCGCAGCTCGCTGTCGGTGCATGTCAATCAGTTAAAAATCCAGATGCAAATGTTGCCAATGAATTCTGGAAGATATATCGGCTTCTTTTTAAAATAAATAAATAAAACAATTGAGAAAGAGGAAATCACAGGGGTTTGTGGAATTATGTTAAAATGCGTGAGGAAGATGGGTCAGTTTTGTAAGATCTTTGTTTTTCTTTACTTCATAACCAAAATCTGTCATGTCAAAAAAAAAAAAAAAACAACCTCTGTAATGCTCTTATCAACAGAAACAGATGTATTCAGACATTTTTAAGAACGTTGTATTTTCCAGGGGCAGGGTGCCGGGTTAGATTAGATTATCCCTACAGCATGTGTCCAAGTCAACATGAGATTGGACTGAAGTTAAACGCCCTCAAAAGCCTCTTGAATCTGCTTGGGCAATAAAAACCCCAGACCCTGACCTCAGCTTTGATTTACATTCTTTATTTTTATTTTTTACAGGTATTCAAAACATATGTGGGATTGCTTTTAGCAAAAAAATAAAAAAGACAAAAAGCACACGGCTCACTCATGTTTTAAACGTGTTGTGCAACAAGATGTAGCCGGCCTGCGGAGTGGAGTGTTGAGCACACGCGTGTGCTCGCCCACGGCCTCTCAGGACCATTACAAGGGCCCCGTTATACCTGGCCTGGGTCTCACATCGACATATTTCGGGCTCTACGCGTGTCGGCATGCAGCCTTGCTGTAGACTCTCACTGTTGTGGTTTTGAGATGAAAAGAAAGTTTTGGTTTCTTTATCTTTTTTCACCATTAATGTACGATTCAGATGAGAAGAGGTCTGAAGCAATGTCAGAACAGAAGGCATTAGCTGGTTGGGACTTTTGAAGACCATCTTCAATACTGTTTGTCAGACAGGCTGGAAGGTGGGAGTACGAAACAACCGAGCCAAGCGAAACGACGCAAAAATGTACTAAAAGTTTCCAAAAACGGGTTGAACTTTTGTCTTGAAAAGTTCAACCCACAAAAAAAGTACGACACACAAAAAACGTACACCTTACTCAAACACTGAGGCATGGCGGTGGCAGACTCATGCTGTGGTCTGATTAAGTTAGATTCTTTTCGGGTGTCTTTTAGGTCCATGCTGCCCCCGCGGAAGGGAGGAAGGACAACAAAGCAAAGCAAGAGGTGGATTTGCAAAGCATTTCAGAGGAACTACAGCGTGATGAGAGATAATGTTTGACTGTTGGAAGAACTGAAGCCGCAGCTCGTATTGCCTCTGTTCGCTGAGTAAACAGCGGCACACGTCGCTGTTGCACTTGAAGACCCTCCAAAGTCAACAATGAAAAATGGATTTGCATGTTTTGCTTCCTCTTTTTTGTGTCTGCAGCATGACAAAAGGAAATAACCAGAACATTTAAATGAGGGTTAAACTGTATAGAGGAAACCTGCCTGGTTAAGCCTCCTGCTACGCTATAACAAACAGCCTTCACTGAGCAATAATAAACACCCTGCTTTATTTTACAAATGTAAAAGTAGGGAAGTAAACAGAGACAATGGTTCCCTATTTACGACATGGCAGTTGGGACGCAGCTACAGACCGACGGGTATTTATCTTGATTGCACCCAAATAGCTTCTTGTCTTTTATTTCCAGGTTAAATCTGTTTTGTTTTTTTAAATCCTGCTACTTTCTGTTACATTTATCCCTGCTGACCACTTTAACTATAACCCCAACTTTACGCCTTGAAGATATTATACTTTAGAGGAATTTCACCTTTATTTTAAAAAAAACCAAGGGTGAAACAATCTGTTTTTAATTCTAAATTTGTCATAAGTCAAACTGTTTTTATGCAGGAAGACGTGAGAAAATATTTATCCTCATGATTGTTATGTTTGTGTATGTTGATACAGATCAAGCAGGTTAGTGGGTTATGTATTTATTAGATGTGGAGCCTTTGCATGCACATTTACAGCGATCTTTTGCTGCCCCCTTGTGGTAATGTGCAGCACATTCTCCAACAAATTGAACATAATGTTGAAAATAAGTAAACAACAAAAAAACATTTGCTTTTAAATTGAAATAAATCGGTACTAGGGTCTAAATGTGAATGAAGTTTATAACTCACGTCCGATTAAAAGCTTTTTGGTGTTTTCCTTTCAAAAGTTTTCATCATTTTGAATTTGTGTCACTTTAAAACCTCAAACTCCCAATGTGACTTGGATTGAGACCCAAACTGAGTCATTAAAATGTTTCTGGCACATAAAAATCTGAAAAGTGTGGCATACTTTTGAAGTCAGTTGTCCTGATCCAGTGCTTTGTGGAACCAAATTACAGACACAAACCATTCAGGTTGTAACTCGACCAACTTTGTGCAGCTACTGACTTCTGTGCTGTCGGATGAGAAGAATAATGTCTGTCTGAGTTCAGGGTAGTAATCCTGCTACAAACTTAACGGTAACCCAAGTCTCAGATGTTTTGCAGAATATGAAAGGTTTTCTTCCAGGTCCGGCCTCTGTTTAGTTCAAGCTATCAGCCCATCAGCTCTGATTAGCTTCCTGGTCCTGGCTGTTCTCATTAATGGTATATTTACCCAAACTTTCAGTTCAGGTTTTTATAGATCTGGACATTTTCCTGCCTCTCTTAACTCTAAACTACTGATTGGACAGTCCTCCATTACATCTAATGGATCTTTACAGCCAAATCTTGAAGCTTTTTGTAACTTTCGCCCAGTTTGTTCACTAATGTTCTCTGTTAGAGCTCTGAGGCCTCAATAAAACATGTATTCATTATAAGATTTAAATGACTGACTAAGGTGACTTACAAAAGCAATTGGATTTTATTTGGCTATCAAAGGGGGGAGGGGGAGATACCTATCACACATTTCAGATTTATTTTATTAAAATACTTTGAAAACAGCCTATCAGCTACTTCTCGAATGTCTGTATTTTGTTGGGAAGTGTACGGCTCGTAACTCTGCTTAAGAGTTAGCACGCTAGCTACACAACGCTACCTAGCTTAAAAGTCGCTCATATTTTGTCGGCGGTTATATCACTTAACGTCTGGTAAGAGAGTTAGAAAGCTAGCTATGCAATGTTACCCAGTTTGCAAGTAATTCATATTTTGCGGGGAATTGACTTCTTGGGTGAGAGTTAGCTCGCTCGCTACGTAATGTTAGCCTAGCTTGCAAGTAGCGCTCACAAGTAACGGTTAAGAAAATGGAAGCAGCTTGAAGCCCCGCTATACTCGCTAAAGTTTAACCACAGTACAATAATGTAGATGTTTAAACAATGTTTCAGGGACACAGTTTATCGTGCCACACAAAATATGTGAATGTGTGTCGCTTCTCACAGAAACACGTCATTTGGCTCTGAAGTTGAAATTCGACAAACATGGTGGCCGGAAGAGAAGTTAAAATACTGATGACGTAATCTGTCTTTCATACGCAGGCGGAATGAAGTCAGGCGTGTCCCAGACGCGACACACAAACGCACAACGTCAGCATTTGAATGTAATAAATGACAAGTTTATTGTTGCACAAAATATACAAAAAGAACAAGCAAATGGAGAGCCCCTCCCCTCTGGTTCATTCGCCTTAATGAAGCTGAATTTCTGAAACCTATGACTACGGCAAGTCCGATGGTCCAAGCCAAACGCATGGTAATTCTGAGCGACATCACAAACCCGAAGTCAGCGTCACTGAACAATTAAAAATGAATAGAAACACCTTATTTACACACTCTTGTCAGAACTTTTACAACATGCCATCTGTGTATGTATGTATTGGGCACACATCCCTGTATAGAAAATATATTATAAATTAAATCAGACTAAGGTCTATGAACATCCAAATTACAGCACTCCTTATTATTATTACTTTTTTTTGTCGCTGTTAAAAGTTTTATTTCCGAGTGGCTGGCCCCCAGGCTTTTCGCACTAAAAGAAGGAACTCTGGTGACGGAATAAGGGAGAATGTGGGCTGAGAGTCCAAGCGGAGCTGCCTGTCATCTCTTCTTTTATTATTATGTTTTATTAAAGATGATCAGCGACAGCTTTTTGGCACTAGGTGAAGAAGTGTGCTGTAGGTTCCCATGATTGGTGCGTAGGTTTTGATCTGCCAAACTGTTTGATCATTTGTGTGTTTCGCTTCATTGTTTCGAAGAAGCTAGTGGTGACATAGCTTTAGCGACATTAGCACCATGGAGAGAAGACAGCCTAACAAGGTTTTTTTTTGTGCTGGAACATTACAAGAGTGGATGTTGTGCCAAAAGAAAAACTACAAATCGGGTGGATGGATGGATGGATGGATGGATGGATGGATGGATGGATGGATGGATATGAAGCAATTCAGGGGGTGGGGAGGACAAAAAAAATGCAGGTCCTTTCATCCTGTCGCCCACAGCTGTACTGATATAGTGGTGGTGGGGTGGGGGGCAGAAAGGGCAGAGAGGCAAGAAGCAAATCTCCGGAGTGGATCCATCACATTGCTTCGTTTCGCCTGCGCGTGGGGATCAGTGCAGCTGAGGGATAACCGAGGGGCCGCGGCGACGGCGGGGGAGGCTTCCAGGAACCAGTAAGAAGACGGGTGCTGTTTTCTCAAAAGGGGAGTGTGCAAAACTTGTCTGACTAACAGCAGGAACACGTAACTCTATTCTATTCTCACATTTCGGTTCTGACCTTTAAATTTTACCCCCCCCGCCTCCCCCCAATAGAGCTTCTTCTGTTATCCTGCTTACTGTTTCACTTCTTTTAATAAATATCTATAATCTTCATTTCTGGTTTCTTCTTTTGTTCTCTTACTTTACAAAATGAGAGACAGAATGATGGACGGCTGATAATATATATAATTAAATTCCTCTTCTTCTTCTCTTCAGGTTGCTCCAGACCCAGAGAGGCTTCTCTCCGTCCGTTGTAAACAAACAGCTGTTTCAGCCTCTGGCGTCTGTTTCTCCCCCTCACGTCTGCAGGTGCGCTCCGACGTTCCTCCCTCTCCTCTGGCGTTCCTTCATTGCAGCAGGGCTCTGATTTGTTTGGAGGTGCTGTCATCGTTTAGATGTCGTGTCGTGTACCTAAAGAGGAGAGACAGAGAGAGAAACGAAAATGGGCCAGAGCACATTAACCAACAGGAGAACGTCAAAGCGATCGTGGAGGTATGCTAGATGGAGCCACAGGGGCTAATTAGCATCTGTAGAAATAAAGAGAAACAGCTGACACACACTAAATGACAAGGAATGGTTCACAATTATATAAAGCAAATAATACCCATAAAAAACATTGAATTGAAATGGCAGCGCTGTCCGCGTAACCTCACGCACAAGAAAATTAGAATGGCGACTTTTAATTTAATATTTTCCAAAAGCGGTAGTAATTAATGGTAGTAATTATTAATAAGTGTAACTAAAGTCTTTTTTTAACCATTATAGTTTTGAGGTTTTTTTTTGTCAACACAACAAACCTAACTCCAGTTGAAACAGACACTTTCAGGTACAGTTTAGAATTTTTTTGAAATTGCTTGACATTTCGTATTGTAATAATAATAATTCTTATTAATAATATTGAGTAAAAGCAACTCAAGATCGCTGGTCTCGGGGTCTTTCAGCTGGACAATAATTCAGAATGTGCAGCTGGTTAAATCAGGAACTATTTTGGAGGGAAAATTCGATCATTGTCGATCCAAAATATTAAAAAAAAAAAAATAAAATTTCTGCGTTCGCCGTTATAAAGGGAATACGTACAATTTCTGCACACTGATTGGAAACATTTCTGTTTCCAATCAGTTGTTTCTACGTCTCTTATTTTTAGTGTATTCTCAACAAAAGAATAAAATAAAAAGAATATACGGGTCAGAGGGGTATTTTTGCCTTGAAAATGTTTAAATTTAACAAATAGGTGCAGCCAAAGTCTGCTTTGGACTTACAGCCAGTGGAGGATAGAGGTTTTATTTACCGTAAAGCAGAAGTTAAGCAGTAATGGTGGTTAATGAGTTGTGGATCCTGTGCGTCGTACCAGACGTTTTCTATTCTCAGATTTTAATTTCACTGGTAGAAAGAGTGTGAATAAGTGTGGAACAGAGGATTTTGTTAAAAAAACAAACAAAAAAACTCAGCAAAGGATCCAACAAAGTATTATTCAAATGAAGCACAACATTTCTCTTAGACTTTTTTTTTCCCTGTCACAGATTATCCTCCTGCAGTGAGACGTTAAGTGTGTCCATCCCAGCCTCCGTACTCACCGTAGTGCGTTCAGAAGTCCCTCCACGCTGTTGGACGGCTGCTCTTTCAGCACCTTGATGCAGCCCTTCATCTGCCAGCCAACAGAGACGACACAGCGTCAGAGCACAGCAGGTTAAAGGTCAACAACACGGCCTCAACCTCGCCCCACGTCTACCCGTCTGCAATCTGTGGAAACCTGAGGACGACTAAACAGGTTTTTTTTATTTCTTCTCTTTTTCTTTTTTTTTATGGGATTTGTTTTGTTGATGCATTTCTGTGATTTTAATATTTTCTTAATATTTCAAATTTTAGTCAGTTCATTTGCTCATTTTCAGGCGTTTTTGCTTCCCTTTTCGGACATTTTTTCTCATATCCAAGGAGGCGTTCCCATAGCAACAAGTACTGTGGGCTGTCATGTGGAAGGCGGTTCTCTCACAAGATGGCGGACGGCGAGTTTTCCACTAGTTGGAGCAAATATTTCAATTCTTTCCACTCTCCAAACACGCCTGCTAACATGTCAGTATATTATGGATATGTTAGCAGAAACGTTTATTGTTATTAACGATCCAGTCAGATTTGCAGATGGTGGACCTCTGGGTCTCGTCCGGCCAGTCCTTCTATTTTAACATGAAGGATTAAATCCGGCTCCCTAACACGATCAGTCACACTGCAAACACACAAGAGCTTACCGAGTATCGGTCTAATTTCTGGTGCAGACATCTTGAGATAAGAACAAATGAACTTACAAGTACATTTTCAGCAAGATATAGGAGCTTGCTTCAAGCAATTAAAAGTAACTGCCTCCATTGGCAGATTAGTTCACTCATGAGAAAACTGTCCTGTTGTAATCGAACTAATGCTCATGGAACCAGTACTTTTCATGAATATTAAGGAATTACTGACTTAGAACAACCTCCTGTATCTCACTGAAGTTAGGTTTGTCTTATTTCAGGTGTGCTAAGACATCTGCGTTGAACACCTTCACTTCTTTCAGGTGTTGGGTGCGCTCCTTGATCGCAGTTCAACACGTAACGCAATGAAATGCGCGAGGTTTTCGCGAGCCCTCCGGGCGCGCACTCACGTCAATTTTGGAGGTCTTGGCGAAGGCTCCGACGGGATGGACGTGGTCGTAGAGAATGATGACGCCCACCATCACCCTCATGCAGAACAGCATGGTGTCTGTATTGGTGAACCGGCAGCGGTACTCCCTGCAACACACAGCGTCACAGAGAGGCTCAGCTTCTGTACCGCAAAAGAACGCGACATCGAGCATCGGCTCTAGTTTCTCGAGAAATGAAACAAAGCCAACTTACTTTCAATAACTTTTCAGCTTTTTTACATTCCTTAATGTTGGTGGGAAAAGTGCTAGTTCCACTGGCTGATTATTTCACTCATAGTGACATTTTTCACATGAGTGAAATAATGCACCAGTTGAAATTGTTTTTTGATCAATAGTAAGGAATTATTGATTTAAAACAAGTGCGTACATTATGTTGAAAAGTTACATGTAAGTCAGTTTTAAGTTAGTTTTGTCTTATTTCTAGTGTGCTAAGATATTTGCACAAGAAACTGGACAAAAACACTTGGTGAGATTTTGTGTTTTTGAAACGTGAAAGGAAGCAATGCATTCAGATTAAAGAGCAGAAAAATTAAAACATAACCAAAGGCCTGCATGTTTCAAAAGTTAGAAAAGTTTTTTTTTTTGGCGGAAATTTGTAAACACTTTAATGTTGTATCAATTATTTCATGCCAATAACAATGTTAAGGTAGAAATAAAATTAAAAAAAATCTGAACAAAACATGAACTGAGCTGATTTAACTTAGATAAGAGGCATAAAAATGTAAAATTTTCTGTTAAGTCAATTTAATAAAACTGTAAAAAGTCAAGTAATTAAGTTGGGACAACTTTTTTTAAAATAACATTTTTAGTTTACTATTTTTTTGCTAAATTTAGTTCAGTAAATTTAACCAAAGTTGTAGCAAAAGCTTATTTATTTATTTATTTAAATTTTTATTTAACTAGATGAAAGAAAATCTTTCACAGGAATGACTTGGCCACAAAAAATAGGAAAAAATTCTGTTTTGAACTTCAAAGCTGATACAGCTTACCTTAACAAGGAATCTAGTCAAAGTTGCGTGAGCTATATTTGACAGCGCAGAACCAAGACGACCAGATAAGAAGAGACCAAAAGACAAATCCATCTGCATAGAGTTTCACATCTAGAATCCGTGAAACTTTTAGATCAGCTTCTTATAGTTCAGATGGTCTATCTTATTCGCTTTGAAACGCTGTTAATCAGAAATTAGAAATGTGTGGCATCAAGAAAGAATAAATAAATAAAATAAATCACTCACGGAGTCTCTAGCATGACACGACACACACACGCCATGGTGCTCAGGCAGTCTGTGGTGTCCTCTATCGGCAGGGTCTTGTTCTGCGCACAGACAGCCAGAGAGTGCGTTAATTTCAGGATTTTTAATGTGTAGAACAACAAAAAACATCCGGAAACGACTGACCACTAGGGGGAGACAGAGCGCACAAAAGAATAAAATATGAAGTGGAAAGCCACTTGGCAGAGATGTGGGTGAGCAGCCTGTCCTCTGCATTTTGCATGAGGCTCTGCAGCGTCTCCCATCAGGAAGCTGACTCTGCAGCTTTTTAAAATCACGGATTAATATTGTTATTTTGTTTTTGTTTTGTTTTTTTCTTAAGAAAAAGACAATCGGAGAGAAAACCTTTGCTGATCTGTTTTCCAGATCAGCAAAGTAAACATTTATCCAGAATAATGTCTAACAAATGTTGGGTTAAAAGCAAGGTCACAATGAGACAGGATTTTTTTTTAACTACCTGCTTTTATTAGGGACAACGTTCCTTAGCCTTAAATCTAGACTAAAAATAATGTAGACAATTAAAGCTGCTTTGAACCATAATGGATAGAAAAATAATCAACATATTTGATGTATATTGATGATCTTGATGATAGCACTTGACAAAATGTAACATTGATTACTGGTTGCTCCATTGTTTAATGTGTTTTGTTTTTATTACTCCTGTTGTGTTTTTATGATGAAAAGCACTTCAAACTGTCTTGTTGCTGAAATGTGCTAATAAACTTAATTGACTGATTTATTATGTGATCACGTCCTGAAAGTCCATAAAATGTGCTTGGTTTTCACAATACTTGGTCCATTTTTCCAGTAGTGGCCCTCATAGGTGGGCCAGTGGAGGCTATGGCCCCCTCCTGAAAATTGCTGAGAGTCTAGTTAATGTCATAGAAAGACATAGTCATCTTATTAAATGAAGATTTAAATGTAAAATCAAATAAATAACTACAAAATTATAGAAATAATGTTCTTTCTTTTTTTTTTTTGGTTGCTGTGTTCCCCTAAACTTTTTACTGGTCAAGACGTTCAAGAAGATCGAGCTCTTGAATTTAAATGTTGGCCTCATCAAAACACCTCTGAATTAAATTTAGCCTTTACTGGTTTCTTTTGCTTGTAAAATATGAATATTTTTATTAAAAACAAAATATAACCAAAAGCATTGTTACTCACTTAACTTGTGTTTTTTGGGGGGTTTGAAAGGGGTTGTCACATGAACTTTGACCTGTGATGGACCGTACCTCTGAAACGAACTTGGTGGTGGCGTTACTCAAGGTCTTCAGCATCGGTGTCGCCTCGGCGTAGAACAGAGACATCCGATTGGCCATCTCATTGTTTACCTCGTTCTCTGCGTCCAGCTGGAAGAAATGTAACAGTTTGGTGACGGGTTATGATTGTGACTTTGTTATTATTACTAAATTCTCAGATGGAATACTGACTTATTAATAAAGTAAACCCATTCTGCGAGGCGGAGCTTTAACTCCCATCTCCGGCAGAACTTTGAACACGTTCTGGGGGAAGAAGGGACATTGAGTCTGAGTGGATTATGTCCAATGCCTCCATTGTCGAGGCGGCTAACTGGAGCTACGGCCACAAGGTTGTCAGAGCATGTCGCGGCAGCAGCCCTCAAACCCTTTGGTGGACGCCTTCGGTGAGGGATGCTGTCAGGCTGAAGAAGGAGTACCAAGTTTGGAGAGGAGATGGAGTCAGACTTCTGTACGGCTTCGAGGGGATTCTTCACGTCGAGAGGAGCCAGTTGAGGTGGCTCGGGCATCTGGTGAGGTGATCTGGGCTCGTCCCACCGGGAGGAGGCCCTGGGGAAGACTCAGGCCATGCTAAAGGGACTATATCTCCTGGCTGGCCTGGGAATGCCAGTGGCTGGAGAGAAGGAAGTCTGGGCCTCACTTCTGAAACTGCTACCCCCACAACCCGACCCCGGATGAAGTGGAAGAAAATGGATGGATGGCATTCTACCTCAGTGGGCTTTATTCTGATCTTACCTGCTGGTTATTCAGCCTGTTCCTGCTTATAGTTCTCCTGTAGTAGCTGAAGTCATTCTGAATGGCCGGGTTTGTCATCTGCACGACAAGAAATGTCACTAAATCGAAACGCAGGTCAGACGTTCTGGACTCGTTCTAAAAGCGACTCTTTCCGACCTTTAGTTCATCGAAGCTGAGCGTGAAATGAAGAATCTCTGCAAACTGCTTGGCCAGCGCCTGCTCTCGCTCCAGGTGCTGCATGGGAGCGTAGGGCGGGCTCGTCAGCGCCTCCAGCAGGCTGCGCAGGGCGTTCTCTGCAAAAGTGGGACACTGCTCAGAAACTCCAAAGTAGATCTTTCCAACTAGCATGTAAGACTGATGCTTTAGTTTGAAATTCCATCTCAAAGTTTTAGTTTATTTTTATATTGTAGATTCTCTGCGTCAGAAAAAAGATTTTGTTTTGATTTGCTCTCAAGTTATGAGAGTTTTTTTTTTCATTTTTCTTTTGCTTGGGGGAAAAATGCACACATTTGTTTAGTTTTTCTATTTATTCTTTGTTTATTATGGTCATATGTTATTAAAGCATTTTGGAGTCACTCACAAAATCAAAACTTTGTCCAAATTCTGTCCCAGGTTTGAAACAAAATAATTTAAAGACAAACCCACAAAAACACCTAAAGGGGAGAAATTCTGATCACATGTCAAACTTGAATAACAAAAAGTTTCGGTATCTGTATTGGTACTGGTCAAAAGACTGAGACAGGGACTTTCTGGTACCACCCTGAATGAGCAATGACGCTCCCTCTAAAGTCTTAAGTCTGAGCAGGTGACACAGATGTGAACCATTTATTTATCCTAGTTATTTTACAATTTGTCTACTTTTGTACGATTCCATTTCTTTTTTTTTTGGAGGGGGGCAGTTATTTTTTGTTTTTCCTCCTTATGTTTTTGAGTCCTTTGACATATATGTACTTGAAAATCTTTACAAATGAAGTGCTTGGGAAAAAAAAAAGAGTTGGTTCTGCAAACTACAGACCCAGAAGGGCTGAATGCAAATGCAGGCCATACATTTCAGATTAGTCTTTACAGAAAAATCAAACCAAAGCAGCGTTTTCCTTCTTCATTACACACTACTTAGTGTTGACGTATTACAGAAAACATAGTAAAAAAACCCCCAAAAAACATCAAGGTTTGTGACAAAAAGCGATAAAAAGCAGACGCTGTGCGTGTTCCTGCTGTGCGGCTCGGCGTCTCTCTGCCTGTCGGGTCGGTAACTGAATGAACGCCGTTCGACTCGCCCTTTCTCAGGTGATGCTGCCAGTGGCAAACACGACAGCAGACCCCGACCTCGGAGGCCGCCTGCTGCCGGGACGGATCAAAAGCGAAGCCTCCTGCGGCCGCGTCTCTTCCGCCGCATTAAAAATGCACAACGGCCTTCTATTAATTCAGCAGAGCAGTTTTCGATCCAAAGGGCCGGGGCAGAAACCCACGAAGCCCCTGCTCTCCATCCTGCGTGAAGCGCCGCTCTGCTTTGCACAACGGAACCAAAAAGTGGGGAATAAAGAGAAAACCAGCACAGGATGCAGAAAGCGAGAGGTGGACCCTGCGTTTCGTGAATCATCCGGTCTGTTTCCCTCGCCGTCATGGCGGAAGGTTGAGGTCTGATGACAGCCTCATCAATTATTAGCCAGGCCCTCGCTTTCTGGTAAGCTGAGAACAGTGAGTCCCTGAAATGGAGGTATTATTGGAAGGCAGAGCAGAGGCGGCGGCTGAACTCTGCTTCACTCTGCTTCACTCTGCTTCACTCTCCCCGTCTCTCCTGACGGCCGTGTGGAGCTGTTTCCCTGGCAACGGCTGCCTGGCGGATCGGGCAGGATGCTGCGGAGATCCTGGCGAGGACGATGCTGCGTTTCGGGCAAGTGCTTATAGGAATACTGTCAGATTGAAGAGGAAAACAAAACAAAATTTTGCATGGCGCTTCTGACATCTGAAATCTTGATTCTGTGTTTCCTGTGAGTTTCAGATGTTCCTCTCCTTAAGCGGACCTGGCATTTCAAACAAATGTAACATGGAGTGTTATATGTGGTAGAGAGGGGACACGTCTAAAATGTTACAGGGGCAAACATTGTTCAAGCATCAGGCAGTTAGTGTGTTTGTATGAGTGCGGTTCTTGCATATATCATTTCTCCCATTTTGTCGTTTTCTGCTCCAACTTTGCACCCAAAACCGACCAGTTTCTCTGCAAAAACACAAAATCTCACCAAGTATTTTTGGTCCAGTTTCCAGGTCAAACATCTTGATATAAGACAAAACTAACTTACACATAACTTTTCAGCAAGATACAGGAGGTTGTTTTAAGTAAACCCTTAATATTGATGAAAATGTTCTAATTGTAAGTGTGTAACCAGAACTTTCTCATCAATTTTAAGGAATTGTTTACTTACGACAAGCTCCTGTATCTCTCTGAAAAGCTACTTTAGAGTTAGTTTATTCCAAGTGTAGGAAGATATTTACACTAGAAACCAGGAGAAAAAAAACAACCTTTGCAAGTTCCTCACTGTTTTTGCAGAGAGGAAAGTTGAACTAGCTCCTGGCTTTCAGCTCTCACATGTAAATCCCCATTTCCAGTCAGACCGACCCAGACGTTGATTCGGACCAGCACCTTAGTTTCCAGTCTCTCCTCGGTGGATTTACTGGTATGTTTCGGGTCATTTAAATGTCAAAGGTTTCAGTTCTGCTTTTTCTTTAACTTTTCTTCTTTTTCTTTTTTTTTACAACTGGTTTCACATTTGTTTGCACTCATGTCATTAAAATTCAACTGGTGCTGAAATCCGGTAGATTCTGCTGCAGGTCCCATGATGACATTCTGGGTTTTTGGAGACTTCCTTCAGCCTCTTGCCCTCTGCTCTCAGGATGCTCTTCTGGATGTGTTCTGCTTGTAGACTATTTTCCAAATGTCGGAGTGGCTCATTTCCAATGATTTTGAGACCTATTTGCCAGACTTATGCTCTTCCATAGTCCTCTCTCAGACGGCTTTTTCGATTTGCAGACGTTCAAGGTTTAAACTTTGCATGCAACTGAAGCGAAACATCATAACTTTGGTCTTTTTGAAGCTGGAGTAAAGGTGTTCCGATTTATGTCTCGTATAGAAATGAACTATTTATACTAAAAAAATAAAATTTCAAAAGTATTTCCTCCCGTTTACATTTCTGCACGATATTGTTTGCAATTGTTCTGAAACATCCAAGTACATTACAAAAACACACATGCTGGTGTAGAGTGCCCTAATTTTTGTAACATGAATGTGGATGTAAACTTTTGCAGGAGCCAAGAGTAAAACTCAACCTTTGTTCTTGTTTATTTACATGATAGAGGTAAAACTGCAGCACAGCCAGCTGCTGCAGCAAGACAGAAAAGAAACAATCAGAAAGATTGAGGTTTTCTTTATTATTAGTTTGCTAATTTATATTTGTAAGTAACATGTACTGGAACTAATATGAGTTGTATGTTTGTGTGTTTCATAAATCTACTTTTTGGTGTTCTGCGATACGCTGAGATGACTTTTCTTTCTTTCTTTTTTCCAGGCAGAAGATAAACGTCTCACCCAGTCGGAGGGAGAACTCGTAGAACCTCTTCAGCTTGGCCACCAGGGGGCAGACGGCGTTCCAGGCCTTCTCCTGCAGCGCCAGGTCGCCCGGGTTCTGGATGGCCTGCAGGACGGCAGCAGGAAAACAGAAGCTGCTTCAACTTCTTCATAGCTACACCTTTCAGCTGTATTTCACATGAAAGAAACATATTTCTGTTCTGCCTTTAGGGTAATTAGCACAGCATCACATACGGAGGTCTAGCAGGATGCAAATGAAGTTTGCAATACCACTGAGATGCAGCGATATTGGGAGACTCCCAACGAATCCAGCTAAGTGACTGAGTTAGCTGCACTAAACCAATCAACTCCCAGGGAAATCCTGGAGCTATTTTGGCTACAAGGTGATGTGTCAATCCATTTCTCATAAAAAATACACAATTATTATTTTTAATCTAAAATTCATTTCTTTTGGTATTGTTCCAACTGTATTTGTATGAAGCAGCAACCCTGTCGCTGCGACCCGACCCGGCGAAACACGGACTGATGGATTTTTGTGGTTGAACGTATTCCTCCAAGGTCTCTGTCAGCAAAGAGCAGAAATGATTCAGCGTTTGTAGCTGAAGTTCGAAGAAGAAAGTTGTCAGCAGAAAACTTTTGATAGATGTTGACGCCCGATGTAGAGTTTCTACCAGAGGAAGTCACACCCCATAAACCCCTCTACATTTATTTTATATCACAACTAAATTCAATGTATCTCCTATGTTAGGGTTATGCAACACAAAAGTAGAGAAAAGTTGGGAAGTAGAAGGAAAATATTGCATTTATTTAAGAGCATCTGCAGCCCACTTGTGTGTAGATCTTTGGAGAACATCAGCAAACGACAAATAGCATCAAGAAGACCGAGGAAGACGACAGTGAAAGGTTGTGAAGATTAAAACGGGTTGGGTTGTAGAAGATACTCAAAGTGGATACAGAAAACGAGGGAAAAGGCGTTCCGTCAGACGAGTCCAAAATAGATCTTTCTGGCCTTCATGTAGCATTTGAGGACCAAAAACTGAGAATAAACCCTGAAAGTATCTACTGTGAAACATTTAGCCAGGAGTCCAACAGAAAGCTTCAGATCCAAGAATATCTGAGAACTACAGACATGAACTGGGGCCAAAAAATGTTGTTTTGAAACTGAAAGGAAATACATATATATAAATATTAAAACGGAAAATGATTGAACCTTTTTTTCCATATTAAAGCAGAAAAACATTGAGCTAGCTTTATGTTATAGCTTAAACCACAGGTAACGGTTTAGTTTAATTTCAGCCCTGCATGCAATTGAGAATCTGTGATTTGAAATCAATGTTCAACGAGGCCGTCCATCCAGTTTGCCTGAGATTTCCACAGTTTGCAACGCAGAACGAACTCAGTGTTCAAAGCTGGTAGAGAGACGCCCCAAATACTATCATTGGCAGCGATGAGTGATTTTACAAAGTAATATCGATTCACTTTCACAGTTTACCCTAGAAAACCTGTTAAGCCTGGAGGTAGGGGGCGCTAGGACAATCATTCAGAGGCCTACTGGGTTTAAAGTTGAAAGAGAATTTTAAATTATCACTGATGTGCAGTTGATAGACATTATTAACAATGCCTGCGGACCAATGGTAAAGTCTTTGAAAGGCAAACATGAAAAAGAAAACTAAAGTAAATATACTTAGCCAGGTGGCCCGTCAGGCTTATGACAGTCTGTGGGGAATCCTGACTTTGCATAAAATCCAAACACCTCAAAGCTCCAAACCTTTTGTGTTCTTGGTGTTTTTTAAACACCTTCACTCGGATATTTGCATCTGTCATCTCCGTATGTGATGCGCTTCACCTCTCGTATCTCCTGCCCCGCGCCGTTGTAGGACTGCAGCTCGGCCAGGATCCCGTGAGCCTCCTCCAGCACGGCGCTGACTTGGTTCCACACGGCCGTCTCCGCCTCGGTGGGCTGGGCATCTGATCGGGGGGGGTGAGGAAGGTGATGTAAGGCAGACAGGAGGGATAAACGTATTCACAGAAAGAAGACCAAGAGCGAGAGAAGGGGGCAAAAAAAAGAGGACAGAAGGAGGTTATAAGGAAGGAAGAGCGAAAATTATCCTAGAAGGTCGAGGAAAAAAAGTTTTCTCTCTCTCTCTTTGTCTCTCTGTGGCTGCAGAACTTCATCAAATCGAGGTTTATATTTGGTCTGGGAGTTAAAGAGTCACTCACTGACTTCTTACTGAAGTCGTGTCAAGAGGTTAGTTGGGGAGGCCCTCCGTCACACAGTCAGGTCTCACTGCAAACCAAACGGAGTGAATCGCACTCATTTATCTGAATTATAATTTCCGGGAGGCTGAATTGAAAATATGTCTGAAGTGTCCATTCCTCTAATCCATGTAATTATCTTATACTTCTTTTTTTTTTTTTTTTACCACTTTTATCGCTATCTGACAATTTTGTGGACTGATGCAGATTTATTTTATTTTTTTGCCTTTAAGGTTCGTTGCTAGAGGAAGAAAATATCCAGAGCTGCTCTGTTCTTTGGCACAGAGCCTCATCTGGTTAGGCTTAATTTTCCTGTTCGTTAGGGGCTCTGAATGGTTCATTT